CTGCTTTCTCTTTGTACGGCTGTCTCTGTTATCCATATCTTGACATTAACTGCCCAAACCAAATACCCACCCCCTCCCCCTCTCCCTCTCTCACGCTGTTGCTGCAGGGGCTCACACACCCCTCGGACACGCCCATAAAAGTCGATCGCAGCATTTCGCGCTCCCGATTCGATTCGACCCGTCGCGCCGTCGCGTCGTCGCCCGCGCCGTCGTATATCGGTCGGGGCGGGCAGAGAGTTGTATGGGGGGCAAGCGAAGGGTCAATCCGGTCGACCGGTGGGTGTGGCGTGAGGGAAGGGGGGGACCTGAACCTGAACTTGTCCGTCTGGCGCAGCAGGCGAGAGTGTGTCTCTCTCTCTCTTGCAAAGGTGATGGCGACGCCGCCCCGCAGCCTGATCCTGACGCGCGGGTGTCGATCAGGTTGAACTGCTCCGGGCCGAGCCCCGCGCTCCTCGTCGTCACCCCCGTCAGCGACAGGACAGTTTAAGCGCTCCCGCCCTCAGCCAGCAGCCCGCGCACTCGGTTTGGATTCCTACATCCTCGCCGTGTGGGCGGGTAATTCCCCTCGATACGTATGGTTGTTGCGTCGCCCTGGAAGTATAGCAACTACCATCAGCGACGGCGGGCGGGCAGGCGGTTGTGCTGGGCGCTCGCGGGTGGCGGGGCGGGGTGGGGCCAGCGCGGAGCAGGTGGGGGAGGCCGGCGGGCCGCCGCTCTGCTGGGGCCGACCTTGCACGCCGTATAAGTTGTGTGAAGTCAGCCGAGCGTCGCAGGCCATCGCCACGGCGGACACCGTTACAAAACGAAAATATACGCGCTGAAAAAAAAATATTGAAAATAATGCCCGATCGTTGGGGGCGAGCGGCAGGAGCGCAGGATACACTCCTTTTGCATCGTGACGTCAACGCCCCGCTTTCGCGCGCGGGCGACGTGGTTGGCCGCCATGCGACGCGGTCCTGCACGGGGACGCAGACGGGTGGGGTGGCCGACGACGTCCCTCTGCCGGGGAGGCTGGCGTCCGCCGCCGCAATGTTGGCGGAAGGTAGTGGGGCTCCTCCTGCGCTTGCCTTTTAGGCAACATCTTTTCATTTTCAGCCGTGGCGTGCGTTTGCCTAGTAGGCGGACGCAGATGCAGCCCATAAACTGCACCGCCGAGTGTCTGAGTTTGCCTACTTTTCTGTCAACGACCGCTGGCTGCGTGTGCCCTATAGCATCTGCTCGCCGCAGTACCGCCTCCACCATACCACAACCCCCTCTACCCCCTCGTGTGCGGTTTCGTTGTGTCGACGGCCACCCCTTTCTGTGATGCGGTGAGGAGTCGGCAGGGGATTGGGGGGGGG